ATTGGTATTGAAAATGACAAAAACACATTAATTTCATCACAAATGCTATGCGAATCATTTAAATTAAATTAAATAATTGATTGAATAAAGTTAATATTTATTTTTTTGATAACAATTAGTATAAAAAAAATACTCTTATACCTTTAGGCACATGTTAAAAAAAATTTCCTTTTAGAAAATGCTAAAATTTCCTCTAAAAATCAGAAAAAATTGCTTTAAGTCGCAACCACAGTAAACACAAAATAGAACCTCTGGTAAGGAACACCAACCAAAAAAAAAAAAAAGAAAGTTGATATGAAAGGTTGAAAGTTTGAGCCTAAAGATTGTGAGCTAGAGACAAAAAAATAATGGCAATACTGATGAAAAATTGAAAAACAAGAGGAATAAGGCATTACAAGGCCAAAAACAAAAAAAAAGAAGGGAATAATGCATCAAGTAAGAAGGTTATACAAGACCCAAGATTTTTTATATTTTATTTTTTACATGCATAGTTTATAATTAGAGTTTTAGGGCAAACACTTATTAAGTTAAATTGTTAAGAGAAATTAATTTTAAAATGTTCAAGTAGTACACTAAAAACATCAAAAATTTTATCGAATGTTTAATTTGTTAAGAGTATAAGTCTTTATATTAGAGATATTCAATTTTAAATTTAAGATTGTTAATAAAAAATTTGCTAAAAAATTAATATTCTTTTATTATATAATATATCATTCGTATTAAAACATAAACACTTTAAAAACATTTTGATGATAAATAATAATAATACTAAAAAAAATAAAAAAAATAAAAAAAAATAAAAAGATAAAACTTGAAGTTGTCCATTCAATTGATGCTTTGACCCTTGCACGTGCCAGGATGCGGACAGGGGCACTAATCAGGCCGCTCATGGATTACTTGCGGTTTAATTAAATGTCTTCAATTATTTTTCTTATCTGCTTAAATGGAAGATGATGCTGGCAACTATTTAAAGCCAGCCCACTTGACCAAAAATAGAAAAAAAAAAGGTTTTTAGTCAAAAGAACCACCTGCTAATACAAAGCAAATACAGCACTTTTGATTGGTTCTTTTGACAAATTTGGTGACAGAATAAGATAGTATTCATACCCACACGACAACGGTCACATCTACTCGTATAAAATTTTTATATATTATAATTATATAAAATTTTAATAATTTATTTTTTATTATATTTATTAAAATTAATTATATTTATTTAAAAATATATAATAATTTTTTTATGATTGATTACACAATAAGATGTTATTTTTTTCATTTTTTATTTCATTTTATCCATATATCATGCGATTTAAATTCATGATTTTTTATTTTTAATAAAAAAAATTAACACTAAATTACTTAAATAATTAATTATAATAAATTTTAATCATTAAAAAAATTAATAATTAAAATTTTATATACATATAATATATACAAATTATTTGTAAATATATCATTACTCATGAGAAAAATAAAATCTTATAGTTATCCGCCGCCTTCTGGCGTTATTTAGAAGCGGCGCTCCTCCTTTTCTTCCACTCTCCTTTGCCCTCACTTCACGTGCCCTATAAGTTTGTCTCTTTAGGTTGTGGTTGCTTAGAGGGAAGTTTTTCCTTTATTTTTCTTTTTATAGGATCATTTATGTCTTTTTATATATTATATAACAAAAAAATGAAAATGATATATTTCTTTTACACAAATTTCAAGCAATAAATTTTTTTTCTTAGACTTCCAAATATGAAAAATGTTTTCTCACAATTTTTTTATATAGAATCTATTTATATAATTTTTTAATTAATTTTTGGACAATTTTTTACTAAATACAAAAAAATTAATAACCCTATAAAATTTTGACAAATTGCAAAATTTATCAACTTTCTTCCCAAAACTAATTCAATCACTTTTCCAATAAAAGTTTTCCCAATAAAGTTTTTCTTTTTTAATGCAAAAAAGGGAGGTTTTCTCAATAAAGTTAATTTTTATTCAATCAGCCCCTAGTCTCTTGTAAGGTAATTTTTGGGAAGCTTGGACAGGGGAAAATAATTTCTCTAGGTCGAAGATTTTTATTGAAGACAATTAAGTAATTGTCAAACTTGATGATTTGGGAAGGCTCGTCGGCACCGCCCTTTTTTTCTTTTTTTGTGTTTCTCATGTTGCTGGTCAATGTAAGAGATGATTGGGCAATTTTTACACGGGCAATGATCTACAAATAATTTATTTATATAATTTTAAAAATGTTATAATTACAATATTTTATGAGATTATAAATTTATAATATAATGTGTCGTTATATAATTAATTTATTTTATTCATGAGTCCACTTGTAATATTATAGATATTAACTTGTTTAATATTATATAGAATTATAAGTTTATAATCTTACATAATATTATAATTATAATATTTTTAATACAATTTTTATTTTTAATTTTTACATATTATTAAATAAATAAATAAATATATAATATCATGGATCTTAAAAAAGTAAAAATAACTAATTATTAAATGATATTTAGGTTGCATGAAAAAGTTATACAATAAAAATTGACCTTTACCATATGTTTAATTTCAAGGGAATGGAGGGAAAGGGACGCCCTCCCCACTATTCTCCTCCCCTTTCCTCCTCTTCCCTCCCTTCCCCTTCAATCTCTTTTTGATTTTTTTTCTTTTTTTCTTTTTTCCTTCATTTCCCTCAATCCAAACATAATGTTAATCATTTTCTTTTTTAAACATGTGATCAGCAACAAGTATGGTTCCACTCACGGAGTCTGCTTGCAACAGCATCGTTGACATTCAATTAGTCATTGTTCAGCATGAAAGTAAATATCCTTAATTACTAATTAGTAACTTTTGAAAGTGAAAACGATTTACATCCTTAATTAGTAAAAACATGAAAGTTGACGTCCTTATCTATAAAATTTCTCTATTGCTTCATATTGAACCAATTTTGTGATCCTATATATTTCATTGTTTTTGTCAGTTATTCATAGTTTTGATTAATGAAATTTCATCTTTTCATAAATGCATATCTTACAATTGTTGGTGGGGGTAATTATTATGACTTTTTTCCTTTTTTTTTTTTACTTAGTGCATGACACATAAGAATTAATTAAGAATTTAATAGTTTGATACCAAGTACATTTTTTTTTCTTTATTTTCACATTTGATGAGTAGTGTGTTAGTTTTTGGATCGGTGAAAAAAAAGAACTACATTTCGAATTTTCTAGCCCATGTTAATGTTTAAATTTGATATTTTTATTGAAGTTTAAATTCTTATCAATTAAGATATTTATTAAAATAAATTCTTTTAATATTTTATTGCAAGAGTTAATAATCTAAGTAATTTATTAATAAATTTTTTAGTGAGAAATGATTTTTTATTGTACAGTTTAAAATTTTAAAAATATTTTATTATAAAAAATACTATGTTAATTTACTTCTGAAAAATATTCATAAACTTTTTTTAATCAACATTACTTGCACTTTATACTTTTAAAATTTGAAAATAAGTAAGAAGGTAGCGTAGCCCTTCGCGCTTTCGAATGGACCAACCATGTGTTCCAAGGATTATTTAAAAAAGGGGAAAAGAATGATGTGTTTATTTATTTTTTTTAATATAAATATAA